GCGGCCTCGCGGCGGCCGGCCTCCCGACGCCGCCGGCTCCGGGGCGGGAGCGGCCCTGCACGCCCTCACCCCGTCCTCCTCTCCGCCTCTCGCGGCTCCCACCACTCTTCCTTTTAAGTACAAGACACATTCTTCGAGGGAAAGTCTCGAATGCTGCTGGCTGAGGGGAAAGTACCATCAACTTGCGATGATTCAGGGCCGGAGTAGCCAGGATGGGAAAACGCTCGCGCGTCCCTTTTCCTCGTCGCTGTGCCCTCTTCAGATGCACTAGGGTGGCAGGCAGGAGAGCAGAAGGAATTGAAACAAACCCAGCATCCTCCTTCTAAGAAAAGTCTGTGGTCTTCTGGTGAAAGCGTCAGCTAAAAGGAGAGGCTTAAATTATCAGTGAATTATCACCGGGTTACTATTATCTTAGGCTTGCACGAAAAAATTAACATTTCGACAGTGTATTGTATTGGCGATCCCAATGAATTTGGAGTTTTCCTCTTAACCCTGTCTCTACACCACTCTTTACAGATAGTGAATTTAGCAGCAAAGCTCCCTCCCAAAGTACTAAAGCTGCCCTGATGCTCATCTGATATGAGCTGGGGCGCTGACTCTTTTCCCATCCTTAACACACCATAGGGAAAATCTTACCCTCAGCTGCAAGTCATCTGAGATTTCTAGATCAGGGCTGGGTGGGCTGCCACTGACAGGCACCTGAGGAGATTGACCTCCCTCTATCCGAGTAATGCCATGCACATCATTGTAGGGCACACATGTACAAATGCCAGGTCACTGTTTTGTGAAAAGTAGGCGAGCCCTGAGTCACACTCTTACCTAACAAATCTTTGTTCCTACTTAGTATTCGCCCAGGTGGCACATGGTGGGTGTGCAGTCAGTGTGTGCCTGTGACAGGAATGAGAACAGGAGAAAGTGCTTCACATGCTCTTTATTTCTCAGAGGGGAAGTCGTGCAGTTCTGGTCTTTGGTCTGGCTGTTGGGGTGAACATGTGTGGGTAACAGAGAGAGCTCTGGAAAAATCCTTAGAAAAGTAAAGGCCTTCCTTGGGAATAGATTTAAAAGGCTGAGCCTAGCTGGTACCAACCTGGGTGCACCACCTGAAATCCCTCAATTATAGATGCATTATTTTGTTTTTTGAGTTTTAAGAGGGGAGAGAGAGTTGGACATTAAAAAGATTCACATTAATATGCTTGGAGGGGCTGCAGGAGACAGTGAAAAAAAGGAGATATTCTGCCTAGACACAAACATAGTAGCTGAAAGATCTTGGTCATGTTGTTTAAATTCTCTGAAACTCAGCTTTCTTTACTATAAAAATCAGCAATACTGGCGTATATTTTTAAGCCACTGTAAGAATTGACACCGCATGTTAGGTGTGCTTGGTTCAAGGAAAGCACTCCGTAAATATAGTCCCTTTTATTAATAGGGTATCAGTCAGAGTCCAGGGTCTCTAAGTAGTGGGGGGTCGGAGGAAAGGCAAAAAAGATAAGGTACTGAATACACAATATAAATTTGAAAATGATAGACTTTGAATGAACGAGGATAACACTGATGCCACATAAATTTATCACTGCATCTCTTGACTTCTGAGTCAAGAAGATTGGCTACCAGTGACTTGTGTGGCTTTGGACAAGTTGCTTAACATTTGTGCCTCTGTTTACTTACATATAAAATGAGGATAATAATACTTCCTACATTGTGAAACTGTTGTGACAGTGCCTGAGATCCTTAGATAAAAGGTAGTATGTGAGTACCAGAGTAGCTATTATTACTCTATAAAGCGCCCTAAGAACCATGGATGAAAGAGATTATGGAGGTACAAAGCACTATGTATCATTATCATTTATTATACCTTTTGTCTTTACCTTACCATTCTCAATATTCCCAGAGATATTTCACAGCCAGACTGCTTCCAACATTGCAACAAGATGTTTAGCTGAGTCAGTCCTAAATTGCAAAATGTTTGCATATCATCAATCTTTATGTAGAGTGTTCCGATGAAATAATCCTCAAAGACTCAGAGCTTGGTTTCCCAACTGCAGCACTATGGACATTTGGGACCAGATATTTCTTTGTTTGGGGGGTTGTCCTGTCCATTGTAGGATGTTTAGCAGCATCCTTGGCTTCTACCTACTAGATACCAGTAGCTGCCCGCACCCCCAGTTGTTACTTTGCCAAATGTTACTTGGGGGAAAAATCTTCTCCAATTGAGAACCTCTGAGCTAGCCTAAAATAATTTTGGTGACCCACTTGCCCTTAATAATAAAGGGAAATATGATGATGCTAACAAAACAAATAAAAAGATTCATTTTACTATGTCCGAGTGAAACTTATTCTAAATGTTAAGTCAATGTTTTCCAGGCAATGGATTAGCTATGATGTGAAATAGCCTATTTGTATGTGTTGAAATAAATAACAGGATATTGAGAAATAGCCATTTTGCCTTCAAGGCAAATATCTCTGTAGCATATGCAATTCACCATCTAAAAGAAAAATAATAGATGTACATAGTTTTAAAAGTTAAATACTTTAGTTCTACAAGGATTATAACAACAGCAATCCCCTACCTACCCTTCCCACTCCCCAAACCCCTCCCAGAACTTTAAACTCTTTTAACTGTTTCTGCTAATATAGATATTCATATTTAATTTTTAAATGTCCTTATCTACTATTCTACTTCTTGATTTTTTCCATTTTTAGATGTCCTTTGCTGACTTCCTAATATAGAGGAAAATGTAGCTGTCTTACACTAACTATGCATACACTTTTCTTACTCCTAAACTCCCACTATATTTATATGAAGATTTTTATTGAATAAACATTCAGTGTTTATAGTGTTATGACTATGAAAATATTGTTCACAGCTGAGCCACGCAGTGTACTATAATTGCATTTCTTTTTTTTTAACTGTTTTTCCTTATTGCACAACTATTTCTTTTTCCTGCAGTTAAAACTTGCCTTTTTTTTTTTTAATCATTGGCTTAATATTTTCTATATACCACTCACAAATTTACACCCAAACTTTCCTCCTCTCAATGCACTTAATCATGTCGGGTAATCCGTAGTTCTATTTCTCTTTTTCTTGGAGACATCTCTCCTGGAGCCCTCCATCCCCTGCTCTAGTCTGGATTGATTTTAAGGCTCGTTGCTCCGTGGTCATCCTGGGAATCATTTCCTGTGCAGACTCCTTGTTTCCTGAATCCCATATTGTCCTCTTTCTTGTTTTTTCCCCTCATTTTAGTGGAGTACATCCTCATATTCTGGGGATAGGATTACACATTCCTGGAGAACTTGCATTTGGAAAACATTTTTAATTAATCTCTGCACTTGTGTAATTGTCTGGTGGGGCATAGGACTCTAGGCTAGAAATCATTTTCCTTCATAATTTTGAATGCATCACTATATCGTCTTCTAGTTTTCAGAGTTGCTGTTGAGAAAACCAATGGCATTCCGATTCCTTTGTATTTTCTCTCTGGAAGTTTTTGGAACTTCTTACCCAGATCTTCTGAAACATCTTGAAGATTTGCCCTGATTTTGTCTTTTTCGTTATGATATTAGGCACTCAGTGGGCTCTTTCAACCTGCTATCTGGCCTTCAGTTGGGAAATTTCCGTATCCGATATCTTTGATAATTCTTCCCTTCTATTTTCTCTGTTCTGTCTTTCTGTAACTCCTGTTAGATAGATGTTGGACTGCTAGCAGTTCTCTAATAATTTTTTAATCTTTTCTCTCCTAGTTTCCATCTCTTTGGCATGTTATTCTACTTTCAGTGTAATTTCCTCCACCTTATATACCAATCTTTCCATTGAGTTTCTGTTTCTGCCGCTATTTTTATCGAAGATCTGCTTCTTATTCTCTAAATGTTCTTTTCCCATAGCATCCAGTTCTTAGGTCACAGCTTCATCGTCTTTTCTTTCCCTAAGGAAATTTCTTTACCTTGTCTTCTGCTGGTCCTACACGATGTCTGTTAGCTATGTGCTCCTTTTTTTCTTTTTGGTTGTTTTAGTCTTCATCTTTCATGTTAAAGAATTTCCTCATCAGTCTGCTGTTCATTCATATTTAAGATTGAAGCACTGAAGAGCAGATTGGCTGGTCTGCTGTGAAAAGGCAGATCTTGTTGACCAGTGGGCCTCATTTGGGGGCTGGTGTCTGGACCCAGGCATTTTGTGGAGGCGTATGTCAAATGTCAGCATCTATGGGGCTTTGCCTTTGGCCAGGTCAGTTTCCCTGAGAGAAAGTATATTTCTGCCTGTGTTGCCAGTTGCCAGCTCTTCCAGGTGCCAAGCAGGGAAAGGGG